TCACAAGTGGGTGCCAAATAATAAATTATATAAACAAATTTGAAAGTTTTTAGAAAAATCACGATTTTTCCTATCAAAAAGATGAATTAAGATCATACCAACATCTCAGATAGGACCCCATATTATATGACAAATAAGAATAAAATGCCGGCAAGAAAATTTCTGATAGAGATATATAGGACCAAGAGTTAATGGATCAAACATTTCAACCACACCAATTCAGTTTCAGAAAATATAACAAATGACACAGAGAAATATATTACTACCTTAGAAAGAATAAGAAAATCGACATCAAGTGTCCAAATGAAGCAGGACACCCAAACTTCGAAACGAGTTCCTCAAATTAGAAACTAGCACAAATAAGATTGAAAACACATTTTCGGATACCAAAAGTCTAATGCAAGACCAAATATGAATCATTATACTTCATTACTTAAGGTGAAATTCAAAGTCTCAGCAACCTAAAAATTTCACATCCCCAAAAGCTGCAGAGATATTACATTAGCCCCTTTGAGAAACAAACTCAAATTGCAAAATTATATTCCAACAATTTTCCATCCCATTTTGGTTTCTTTAATTGACTAATCATCCAATTAGACTGAATGAAATGATATACAAAATTATACAAGAACAATAGTCAGAATCAACCTCTTAAACCCAGCACCAGATGCATAAATATAATTTTCCAAAAACAAATAAAAATTAAGAACAAATCAAGGCCATTAAAAACAAAGCACAAAGTAATTCAAGAACAAAAATATTCATGATGAAGAAGTTCAAATGTAACAACAAGAAATATCAAGAAATGTCAAGCACACGAGACATTCCATAACAAAATTAAACCCTATCCATTCAGATTCAATTTAAAAGCTCATAAAATGACTCCATTCAAAAACAGCTAATACTGAAACACAACTCGAGCACAAGATTTAACCTCCATGGCTTCTAATACTTAATACTTAGAACCTGAGCTTCGAGAAAAACCAGCGGTTCTTGCCAGTCTTGAACCTCTCCTCGAACCTTGCCTTGATATCCTTGCAGGCGGTGACCTTCTTGTCGCGCGAGACCAGGGCGTCGGCGGTGACGATGTCCTTGAGATCCACGTCGAGGGTG